CTTCAGTGCTTGGACTGAAATCTACTGCTGCCTGTGCCCCACTGCGCCTTCCCCCCCATACCCATTAGGCAATGGTATTTGACCTGCTTTCTAGAGTGATTTTTGGCAATTCCAAATAGAATCTCATCAAATGTTCTATTTGTTAGAATATGGATCAGTAAGTGTCCAAAACTGTGGACACTTTCATGCTGCTGAGGGGTTTGGAAGTGCAGTTCGTTACATTTTTGCTTTTAGTTCATGTGATTTTTCTAAATGCTAACACAGCACTATCTTAAAAGCTATTCAGTTTATCCAGAAAGAAAGTTATATATCTGCTCCTGAATTGCTTCTCCAGCTGCTTTATTTGTAATTATTCTTTCTGGGTGTGAATTTATTATCTTAGCACAAGATCACATCCAAATTTAACTTGCATCTTTTTAGCAGAGTAAGCTGAAAGCCACAAATTATTTTTTATGAAGATTTAAATACAATATGTTAAATTTTCTCTCTTTTAAGCTTCATTAAAGAGGTGCCAGACATAAGATGTCAGGTTCCATTGCTAAATTTCCTTCTGTCTTTGAGTACAATAGCCTTGTAATTGCTGTCAGTTCCATTAGCCCATATGGGTGGTGATTTTTCTTGATTTTTTTGCTCAGACATTATTTGTAGTTTTTCAGCTTTATTATTGATTTTATAATTATTTCCACTATTTAGGACACTTTATTAAGAATGTTTACTTAGCCAACAGTTTTTTTATCTGACTTTATTGCACTGCTGTGGATTTCTGCTGTTTTCTTAAAGGCACAGTTGTTCTCATATTTAAACAGAAGTTACCTGAATCTGATTAACCTTCTTGCTGACAAGTTATATTCTAAATATTCTCTTGATTTAGAACAACTACCTGTAGGCTGATGTTCTGAGAACTGCAGTTAACTCTCAATAAATAAAAACGTTTTCTTCATGTGTAAAGGCAACACTTCTTTTTGAATATCCTTCCATGGCAAGAAGTGCTTTGTCAGTCAGAGCAAATTTCTTGCATACTCCCACCTTAAGATCCAATGTAGTTTGAAGCTTTTGAAGAGAAGCAGTTGACCAAAACTTATTTTCTCTTCAGGTATCTCAGAATTCTTATTAAGATTGTTTTGTAGCATGTACGAACACTGCAGTTATGTGCTGTTACCTGAGCTACACAGCTGCAGAGTTCAGTGGGTCATACTGTATTTGAGTGTTGTCTTCTATTGAAGTAGATACTTGCAGTTTCCTTGGTTGTTAGCTCTATTCTGACCATGCTGCAAAGAAAACAAGAAACTGTCACCAGCTTTCATAACTAGTTGGGCCTTTCATTCAGCTAATGGTGATGTTTATAACTCTGTGATTATCCTCAAAACTAGTCAGTTGCCCAGAATTGTGCAACAGTTGTGCCCTCGAGTCCAGAGGAGGGCCA